TGACACTCAGCGTGGCTGAGGTCTTCTCCTGCCCACACAGGCATGAGTACTCCCCAGCATCTTCCACAGCCAGGCCACGGATCTGCAGCTCACACGTGGCCCCATCCTGCCTCAGGATGTATCTGTCCCCATCTTTGAGGGTCTTTTCTCCCTTCCTCCACTCCACAGGGGCAACCTTGCTCATTTGGCACCTCAGTGTGACCATGGCCCCTTCTGTGGCCTCTTCATTCCTCAGGGACTCTGTGAACTTGGTGGGCATGGCTAAGAACGTCAGAAAGGTACAGGAATTGTTACACTCGGGGCACATGCTGGGGACAGGACATGACAGGGACAGGACATGAACAGCACAGAGAAGACACGAACCCCACTGAGGGCAGGCCATGGACTGCTCTGCTGAGAACAGGCCATGCATTTTATGTTCTATGGTGTGCCCTCTTAATATCAGGACCATGGGCCTTTCCACAGATCTGGCATGATAGTCAGAGGGGACCAGAAACACACCAGGATACCACATTCTCCACATTCTCTTCAGCAGCTATGACTCAGCCTGGATGTCAACGGGACATGGAATCTACCAGAAAACAGTACTTAACTCACGCTGGCACACGGTAGAGGGAAGCCAGCCATGGATGTGTTTTGTCCTGTTTCATACAGCTTCCCAAAAAGTTGGGACTCGGTCCAGTTAAAAGGAGGTGACACACAGACATGTCTATAGACACCAAGACACAGACCCCACTGGCCACACATCTTTACCACTGATATTCAGTGTGGCTGAGGTCCTCTCCTGTCCGCACACACATGAGTACTCCCCAGAATCCACCACGGCCAGGCCACAGATCTGCAGTTCACACACAGCTCCATGCTGCCTCAGGGTGTATCTGCCTCCATCTCTCAGGGTCTCGGACCCCTTCCTCCACTCCACAGGGGCAGCCTTGCTCAGCTCGCACCTTAATGTGGCTGTGGCCCCTTCTGTGGCTTCTTGGCTCCTCAAGTCTTCTATAAATTTGGCAGGCAGGCCTGGAAAGGGTCAAACAATCACTGAGAACATGAATCTCTCTGAAGGTCTCTGCATGGACATGGAACCCACAAAGAGTCACGCACATTGCTCAGGAGCCACAGCATGAATGACTGAACTCATAGACCGATAAGAAGGAAGCGGGTAGCTGTGTGTGTGTTGGGGGGGGGAGGGTTACTGCAGCAGGAGGATCACCCACTTAAACAAATGAAAAATACTCAAAGGACATCAGTGAGAGGACAGACGGCTACCACAGGAGCTGTGCCACGTGTGAAGACAGAAGGAAGGGACAGGACCAACAGGAAGCCAAGTCACCCGTCTTTACCCCTGACCGTGAGCGTGGCTGAAGTCTTCTCCTGCACACACACACATGAGTACTCCCCGGCATCGGCCATGGTCAGACCATGGATCTGCAGCCTACACACGGCGCCGTCCTGCCTCAGGTCATATCGGTCTCCAGCTTGCAAAGTCTTTGCTCCTTTCTTCCACGTCACAGGAGCTGCCTTGCTCATTTCACACCTCAGTGTAGCTGTGGTTCCTTCTGTGGCTTCTTCATTCTTCAGACCTTCTATGAACTTAGCTGGGAGGGCTAGGAAGGTCAGAAAGACACAGACACAATCACATTCTCTGAGAACACGGAAGACCCTAGATGTGGATGGTCCAGGGAAGACAGGAAGGCCGGCTGCACACAGGCCACACGCTGGGCACACTGAGCACAGGTAAGGATGGGACTTCCCTTGGTCTAGACTGTGTCTCATGGCCACAGTCCATTCTATGGCTCCCACAGGCCCCAGACTGCGCATGAGTTTGGCTTGTGGGGCTGGGGGGGGGGGGACAACACAAAGATCACCAGGATCTTACAGAATGCTGGAGACAGGACGCGACACTCAACAACGAAACACACATTGGAGATTGTAAGGGATTACCGTGCAGACACGTGTGGGAAATAACACAGACGGGGCAGCACATAGACTGGGCAGCCTGACCCTGGCGAAGCAGCAAAGACACAGAGGACCTCGAGATAAGGCGGTCTGGAGAGAGAGCCCAGGACCTGGACAGAGAAGCATTTACAATGGAGGCATCCCTGGCCCCGAGTCTTCTGTGCCCACCCTGTCCCACATGCAAACTCCATGCTTGGCTTGGCTCCTAGGTCACAGCATGCCATGGTTGTGAATGCCTCCAGAGGTTCTTGTCCTCTCATTTTGATGATGCTGGGAGAGCACACAGGATGCCGGAACCCCACCACCACCAAAGTCATAGCAAACCCCACTTCTCAGAACAGACTTAGAAGAAGGAATAGCTTGGCTGGATGGGAAGAAGTCACAAGTCTTTTCAGCCTGGAGTAGGTGGCCACAGACAGGCCTCTGGCCCCATCTTCACAGTGCAGGCAAACGTGCTGATGTGTGAGAGCAGAGGTAAAGATCCACAGCTGAACAAGGGGAGAAATAATTCGCCTGTCCTTGGCCACCATGTGGGAAATGGTCCCAGAGAAGAGGAGGGACAAACCAGCTCTTGTTTGCCAAAAATGAAGACTTCCTTTGGCGACCAGGCCAAGATTGAGAAGTTTGAACACCCAGCTCTATGTACTCAGAGCATCCTCAGGACTTTGTGGTCCAGGGGTAACTTTGGAAAATGCAGGACTCTCTAGAAAGGCCCAAGTAAGGTATCCATCATGCCTAGTGCTTGCTGGGACAAACCCAGTTCTGCAAGCAGTTGGTTGCCAAGACCTTCTACACCTCAGCCATCAACAGTGTGTCCTGGAGATGGGAATAGGAAGAATATTTTCCTGTAACCTTTTTCTAACTCTGCAGCCATGGGACAGGTCTTGGGTGCATCCTTCTGTCATTTCTTGGAATGTCTGAATGCATGATGGCACCAGGCCTCTGTGTTTTGACACTGTGATCCATCCACATGGCAGCTGGCTTTCATTCAAGTGTCTCCAATGCTTGTGGAGATGATGGAAACCACCTGCCAGAGCCTGGACAAAGATGGCCAGGCCTTACCATGCCTTCCTCTTCAGTGCCTCAGTAGTTGGTTCTTCATGTGAGAGCAGAGCCCGCCAGGCCAAGGGCTTTGTGCTTGCAGGAGTTTCATTCCATCTCCACTCTCCAAGATGCCCAGGGTCCTCCAGCAATGTCTGTGCATTCCATTGGCTTCCCTGCAGGGAGGTGCCTGGGTCCTCCAAAGACTCCTGACAGAGAACTGACTCATCACTATATCACCAGTCACTCCAAGACAGGAATCCCAGTTCCCTGGACACAACAGTGACTCAGGAGCAGTGTCCAGCAGGCCAGCCACTCTAGGAAAGTCTGTTGCTGCCCATGCATACATGAGGACTGCTAGGATCCATCACAGCCAGGCTCCAGGGCTTTGTATATCCTATCTGCCTCAATCTGTGCATGCCTCTGTCTCTGATGTCCTAATGTCCCAATGTCCAGGGAGGCACCTTGTTCTGTTCACACTACAAAGTGACCTTACTCCCTGTAATGCCCTCCCCAGGCCTCTAACTATCTGTGAATTACTATTCACAACTGCAGGGGACACACAAGCACAAAGACCATTAACTTCTGGAGCCACAGACAAAAGCGGGCCCCAGACACTACATGTACAACACAGAACACAGAGTGGCCAGAGGCAGGATCATCCATCCCTTCCCCAATGGAAAGATGTAGAACTGACCAGTGAGGACAGGGCCAAGCTCACCCCCATGGACTTGTCTTCACCTCTTCTCACCACCATAAGATAATCCCCCACCTCCACCTGACTCCCAAGGATCAGGTGCCCACCTCTGCCTAATACCCGTGGGGTACACCTTCATCTCCATCTGACTCCTACATGTTAGACCTTCACCCTGACTCCCATGAGGTGGGGCCTCACCTTCATCTGACTCCTAAGGGGTGGCCCTCAACCTTGCCTGACAGTTACATGGTGAATCCTCACCTTCTCATTCAGGCACATGTCAAGGCTGTCCCTTCCTGGATTCCTGCTGTGTGGGCCATTCCTCCATTTCCTGCCTCCCCCTTTTCCTGGTGTGCCTCCAGGAGCTACAATTGCATCTTTGTAATTGTTTTCACACACACACACACACACACACACACACACACACACACACACACACAAAATCTCACCCATCCCAACCAGGACACTGGGGATGGGAAAGACCCGATTCTCCATTGCTTTCTGGCATCTAAAGTGGGTCCCATACAACAAATATGAGAAATACCAGCTAACAGAATGAAGATGAGACATAGAAAAGCAGGAGAGGTGGATAGAAGAAGACGCTCAGGCACAGAGCCACCCATGCACAGGGGGACCGGCACACAGGAACACACGTGGTCTTTACCCCTGATGGTCAGCGTGGCTGAGGTCTTTTCCTGCCCACATAGGCACAGGTACTCCCCAGCATCTGATGCAGCCAGGCTGCGGATCTGCAGCTCACACACAGCCCCATCCTGTTTCAGGTTGTATCTGCCTCCATCTCTCAGGATCTCTGTTCCCTTCCTCCACTCCACAGGGGCAGCCTTGCTCAGCTCACACCGCAGCGTGACCATGTCCCCTTCTGTGGCCTCCTGGCTTCTGAGCCTTCCGATGAAGTGGGCGGGCAGAGCTGGGGGGGAGGGGGGGAGAGGATTGGAATGTCAGATCTGCTATAGAGTGCTGTGGGATAGGACATGACACAGGACAGGATGGGGAACAAGACAGAACACAGCAGGGAACGGGGAAGAACCCCGCAGGAGAGCTCAAGAGTGGGAAGCCAGCTGTGGATGCTACGTTTCCCGGTTCACACAAAGGCTCAAGCAGTGGGGTGGGGTCCTCAGTGGGTCCTCAGTGGGTGCAGAAGGTGCATAAACAGGAGAAAAAGGCATTGGAGGAGCTGGGCAGACAGCACCAAGTCAGCTCACGGGTAAAGCCCTGCTCCACACGGCCACGTGTGGTCCTTACCCTTGACAGTCAGCGTGGCTGAGGTCCTCTCCTGTCCACACACACAGAAGTACTCCCCCGCATCTGCCGCAACCAGGCTACAGATCTGCAGTTCACACACCGCTCCATCCTGCTTCAGGCTGTACTTGTCCCCATTTCTCAGGGTCTCTGCCCCCTTTCTCCATTCCACGGGGGCCTCTTTGGTCAGCTCACACCGCAGTGTGGCCGTGGTCCCTTCTGTGGCCTCCTTGTTCCTCAATTTTCCTATGAACTGGGCAGTCGCGGCTGCAGCAGGTACAGAGACAAAAGACCTCGTTACTCCCCTGTACTGAGGTGAGTTTCCCACTGGGCCCTGAGCACAGTACAGACCAGGCACACTTACTTTTCACTGTGAGTGTGGCTGCAGTTGTCTGGTCCCCAAAGGAGCATGAATACTGCCCACTGTCCTGGGGCTTTAGGTCTCGGATGACCAGCTCCAGCACAGCCCCCTCCTGGCGCAGGCTATACTTGCTGCTGGACTTCACGACGTCATCTCCATGACGCCACTCCACAGGTGCAGCCACAGATGACAGCACGCAGCGTAGAGTAGCAGCCCTGCCCTCTGGCACCTCCACATCCTTCAGGGACTCCCTGAACCGCACGGGCCGAGCTGTGAACAGCAGCAAGTACAGCTGCTGTTATATAGTTATAGATAGTCCTCTTCCAGGAGTCCACCAAAGCCAAGTCAGGAATGGGCCACAAGCAGGGGTCAGGAGACCAAGAGAAGGGGGGAAACTACCGGAGGAGTAGGGACCCTGAGACACAAGGAAGCCAAGTGCCCTACACACACAGCAGACAGAGGCAGAGGAGAGGAACCAGAAGCTGCTAGGGGGCGGGGGCTGCCTCCTGTGGAAATATTTCTATTCTTACCCCCCAAACATGGCCACCCGGCACTCACCATGGACCCTGACGATGGAGCTGCTGGAGCTTCCGCCAGCCTCACATTTGTATCGCCCACCATCTTGCAGGGTGGTACCAATGATGACCAGCTGGGCCCGACAGGCTTCATAGCTCATCTGGCATCGTGCGGAGGGCCTCAGGGTCTTCCCATCTTTGGTCCAGCGCACAGAGCTATCCAGGGTGGTGGTTTCACAGACAAGGGTCAAGTCCTCGCCTTCTGTGACTGTGACATCCGTGAGTGGCCGAGAGAAGATGCTCGGCTTCTCTGGGGGATAGAGAAAAGGCAAAGGGACTTGGGATTGTGGTACCTGTACGAGAGGACTAACACAGCTGACCATGCAATGGATGGTATCAGTATCGGCCTCTTGCCCTCAGGCTGGAGCCAGATAGAAATGCTGAGCCAGACAGAAAGGCGGTTCCCATCCTGGAGGAAAACAGCTCACATCACATCACCCACAAATTCTGTCTCCGGAAAGAAACCCAATTCAGTCTTCTGAACCAACTCTTAGAGATGGGAGACACCCCTGCCCCCATGCCACTGGCTACCTCCCTGGGATGAGAGAACCCCTTGCCATTGATAACTAATCTTGCCTCTCCATGAGCCCCAGGACCACACTGTGCACCAGGCAGAGCTCGGAAGAGCTGTCATCTGCCCCTCTTCAAGGCTCCTCTAGGCCATGCAGTGTCCCCATCATGGATGGCCCTTAGACACAAAACCCACCAGTCACCCGCAGGGCAGCTGAGGTCCGCTGATCACCCGCCTCGAAGTAGACAGTGCCTGAGTCCTTGAGTGCCAGCTGCCGCAGGGTGAGCACATGGTAGCCTCCAGGCTGGACAGTGATCTCATTCAGCTCATTGCTGTGCAAGGGGGTCTTATCCAGGAACCAGTGTACCGGGCTGTATTCAGCAGGGGAGATACGGCAGCAGAACCTGGCGGAGGAGCCCTCCTGGACGGCCGTGTCCTCTAGGTCCTCGGTAATGCGCACTTTCTGGCCTGCTGGGCAAAAGTCACGTCAGAGCTCCTGCAGCCTAGGGCCAGGGTTGGTTAGCTGCCAAGAGAAATGGCTTCGCCCGAGGCCCCAAGTGGGGCCATAAGCAAGTAGTCTGCTTTACCCCTTGTCAATGAAACTCGAAAGCAGATCTGAGCCACGTAGTCCTTTGGAGGTCTGAACCCCAAACCTATATCCCCCTCTGAAGTCCTTTTGCTAAGATGGTGGAGGGTCCACAGCCTGTTGAAGTTCGTGTACGCTCTCCTGCCCTTCGTACTGAGCTGGGCTTGCCAACAGACAGGCTGCCCGCTCCCACTTACACCCGCAGGGCTCATCACAGTTCAGGACAAGTCACACTGCAGTCAATCTCACATTGACAGATGAACGGTGGGTGCAAAAGAGGTGACAGTTACCCCCACTCTGCTGCAGAGACTCGACCGACTCCACCCTCCCCATCCCCCCTCCACCCGGTCCTTTCCATCCTCCTCTCCGGTTCTGTGAGATGGAGTTTTCAGCATCCACAAACGTGAAGAATTTGTGGTATCTGCCTCCCTGTGCCTGGTTTAGCCCACTTACATTTCAAAGACCTCAAGGGAAAGCTTCAAGTCTCACAGCATACAGACATGATGACTACTCAAGTATGGAAGTGCCCGAGAGCCTGATCAGATCACTTCATGCTGCCAACACATCCCAGTTATCACACTGTGTCTCACAGGTAGACACAAACAGGTGTTAATTGAATAGATTGAAATAATATAAAGAATTGTGCCTACATTAAAATTTAAATTGAGGGTGCCAGGCAGCGGTGGCACACGCCTTTAATCCCAGCACTCGGGAGGCAGAGCCAGGGGGATCTCTGTGAGTTCGAGGCCAGCCTGGTCTATAGAGTGAGATCCAGGACAGGAACCAAAACTACACAGAGAAACGCTGTGTCAAAAAACAAACAAAGAAACAAAATTTAAATTGAGGGCTGGGGGGTGGCTTGGTAGTTTAAAAGATGCACTGCTCTTCCAGAAGATCCAAGTTTGGTTTCTAGCACCTGCATCAGAGGGCTCATACCCACCTGCAACTCTAGCTTCAGAAAATATAAAGTTTCTAGCCTCCTCAGGAATCTACACTCACATGAACATACTTACATCCAGACACACACACACATGTGATAGAATATGTAAACTCCTAGGAATAGTTGGTTGTTGTTGAATTAAAAATGGTAGAGTTGCCGGTGGTGGCACACGCCTTTAATCCCAGCATTTGGGAGGCAGAGCCAGGCAGATCTCTGTGAGTTCGAGGCCAGCCTGGTCTACAAATTGAGTTCCAGGACAGCCAGAGCTGTTACACAGAGAGAAACCCTGTGGTGATATATTGCGTATCCTAATAAAATTTGCCTGAAGATCAGAAAACAAAACAAGCCACTAGATTAAACATAGAGGCCAGACAGTAGTGGCACACATCTTTAATCCTAGCACTCAGGAGGCAGAGATCCATCTGGACCTCTGTGAATTCAAAGCCACCCTGGACTACATGAGATTGACTCAGTGTAGGAGAGAAACAGCCAGGCAGTGGTGGCATACACCTTGAATCCCAGCACTTGGGAATCACAAGTCTTTAATCCCAGCACTAAGAAGGAAGTGATAGCTGGGTGGAGAAAGGTTTATAAGGCGTGAGGAGACAGGAACTAAAGCTTTTAGGCTGAACTCTTCAACTGAGGCCTTTGGGCTGAGGGCTGACAGGCTTTCAGAGGATTCGTGGAGTTGGTGAGGTGAGACGTAACAGTGGCTTGTTCCTCTGTCTCTCTGATCTCTCGGCATTTACCCCAATATCTGGCTCCAGGGTTTTTTATTAAAAGACCTACTAGAATTTATGTTACAAAACCCTGTCTTGAAAGAAAAAGAAGAGGGAGAAGAGGAGAAAGAAGAAGTAGTAGTAGAAAAAGGAGGAGGAGGAGGAGATAGACATGGGTCCTGCATACACACAATTGCACCCACACATGCCTTGGAGGTAGGACTCCACTCGAAAGGCCCAACACTGGATGGCACAGAGAGAAGGACTCTGATCCGTAGGCTGTCATACAAAGAACAGCTCTACTCTACCCACAGGCGTCTGTGTGGTTCACACTTAAGATCTGCAGTTCACTGATTTTCTTTTTTGGAACATGGTCTCATGCACCCCAGGCTAGCCCTGAACTTGCTATGATCTTCAGCTTCTCCTCCTCCTACTTCTGTCTCCCGTGTCTTGATGGAGAGTTGGTCTGGAACCGCACAGATATCAAAATCTGAGGGCACTCAAGGCCCAGATAAAAAATGAAGTATTTGCACTCTGCCTACATCTGCTGGTACACTTTAAATAACTGATTTTTAGTAGCCAATTCAATAGAAGTACTCGGTGCAGCGTTACACCGAGTATTGTTTAGGGAACAGTGACATGGAAACAAGTCTGTGTTCATCACAGCCATATTTTCCTTTTTTCCATTTCTGTGTGCAGTGTGCATGTGTGTGCATGCATGTTCGCATGTGTGGAAGCACATGTGTGTGCATGTGCACATGCATGTAGAGGCTCAAGGTTGATGTCAGGAATCTTCCTAACGGCTCTTCCACCTAATTCAACGAGGCGGGGTCTCTCAATCAAGCCCAGAGCTCACTTAGATGGCTGGACTTGATAGGCAGATTGCTCTGAGATCTGCCGTCTCCACCTTCCCAAGCAGCTGCAGTGCCATGAGGATCCAAACCCATAAGCTTGCACAGCGGGTGCTTAACATCTCCCCATCCCTAGCCACACAATTTCTTTTTCCACGTGTTTCTGAATAATGAGAGGCTAGATCTGAAGATGCAGAATTCACAAACAGAGAGGGCAAACTTTGTTACTTCTAATTATCTAATGCTGAGGCTTCTCACAAACATGAGTAACGTCATGCCCTGGAGGCAGACTTGGGGGGGGGGGCGTTCCAGTAAACACCAACCCGGACTCCACTGTAGGAATGCAGAGCCAGGCGAAGGCTGTGGTCAGGAGGGCTGGGGTCCTCTCTGCTCTGATACCATGACACATCCCTGTTACCCAGGCTGGACACCACTTTCCTTCTCTACAAACCAGAGAGAACAAAGCTCTCAGGCTGCATATTGGAGGGGCAGGTGCTTCACAAGTGAGAACAGAGAGAGCAACAAACAAACAAACCAACAACAAACTGTACCTGTAAGTTCTGCAGAGACCATGCTTGCCAAACCCTGCCTGGCGCACACAAACACGTTCCTGAGTCCCTAAAGAAACCCCCTCTTGTTCCACATACACCAATCATCTCCAAGTTTGCCTTTGCCCTTCCTGAGCTCTGCAGCAACTCAGAACAGACGCCCTGGACAGCCATCTGCCCAGCAGGGATAACCCCACCAACCACAGACACCAGCTCCTGCCCCATGTCTGAGGGAACCCTGAGCTCTGTACCCAAGCAGCTCATGGCCGCCTGTCTCCCTCTATGCCTCCTTGCTCTGGGATGCACCCTGGGTTTTCATTTCGATACCATGCATCCCCAACAACACGACTGTTCTTTAACAGCATTGTCTCTATCCTTTTCTAAACTGACACTGTTAATATTGGTCACAATGATAGTCAGCTCTCCACTCAGAACACATGGGGCTCCTTAGTTGCCACATGGTAAGTGGTCCCTCGGCAATAAATGGCACATCACGTGTGCAAGCACACACAGAGCACATATCCTGGGACTCAGCACAGGCCTGAGAACACAGCAAGCACCCACTGTACAAATGAGGGCCGTCCATCAGCTCCTTCACAGAAGGTCACACTAGGAAAGCCTGAGATGCTCAGGTGAGCTGCTCTACCCTTAGACATACAGAAACTAAGGCTGGGCTGGTCCAGAACAAGCAGAGTCCTGATGACTAACCACTTCTGAGCCTTCAGAGTGAACTTCAGATAAAGCAGGCCCGAGCACCCACCAAAGAGCCAAAAGCAGCATGCACGTGAGGATTGCCTCACCATGGACGAGGAGCCGGGCCTGCGTCCGGGCTTGGCCAATGTCACAGGTGTAGGTATCACTGTCTGTCCTCTCCAGGGCATTGATGGTGAGCTTCAAGGTCAAGCCCTCCTGGCTGGGGGCATGCTTCGCTGAGGCACGCAGCTCCAGAAGGCCTTTGCGCCAGGTCACGACAGATGCTGGGTGCTCTGTCTTGCATGTGAGCACAGCTGTGCCCTTCTCCTCCAGCTGCAGGTCAGCCAGCTCCTCCGTGAAGCGGTTTGCCTTTTCTGGGTAAGGGACAAAACAGGCAGGGACGGGGGCATAAAGCTCCTCTCAGTATGCAGGCTCTGTCCCCGTCCCCAACCTGAGCACACAGGCTGACCGGAGCGGGCGCCTCCACTGAGGTCCTGGGGGTGGTCCCAGGCCATGCTGCAGGGCAGACAGACGGGGTAGTGAGCTTACCTTCCACAAGGAGCCTGGCGGTGCTTCTGGAAGCTTCCGTCTCACAGGTGTACTCTCCAGAATCCTTGATCGAGGCCTCGCGGACAACCAGCACGGCCCGCGTGCCTTCACTGAGCAGGTCGTACTTCTGACTCTTCCGGATGGCCTTCCCATCTTTCAGCCAGCGCACGGAGGTGCCCGCCCTGGACAGCTCACAGCTTAGCGTCACGTGTTCTCCAAGCGTAGTCCGCTGGTCCTCCAAGGGCTTTGTGATCTCCACTGGCCTCTCTGAAATAAGGAGAGATGGTTCCTACGAGGCACACCCAGAACCAGCCATGGCCTAAGACACACAGCCACTGCAACAATCCCTTAGAAGTGGCCTCAGCCATGGCCAGGATGAGGACAGACAGGCGTTTAGGAACATGCATTTTCTAGAGATCAAAACCACAGCCCTTGACTCCTGGGACCTGAGACCCCCCTAGAGGCTCAGGACTTTGAGGTGCTGGAAGCCCTCATTAACGGTGAGACCTGGGAAGCATGTGCTTGCAACAAGGGCACCCCATTCAAGGCTCCTATGGCCCCAGCTTGGCTGGTCCCTGTGCAGATCCACTCAGGAGCACCAAGTGTGTGAGTCGGAAGCGCAAGCTGCAAGACATTGGAGGCTACTTCCCAGCCACCCTGGCCTCTGCTTAAGTGTCAGACTGGCTGAGTAAGCTACATGCACCGAGAGCGGCCAGCCGATGGGTGATAGACCAGACTTCTCGGCTTGCTCTAGAAATCCAGATGCTCAGGCAGGAATATGACTTCCTTCAATAATGAAAATTTCCCCCAGCACCCCCAAGAGATATACTGGGTCCCCACCATGATGGGCAGACAGTCCCTAGAAAGAGCCCAACAGTGCCCCAGTTCACAGTGCTGGCCCCTGGTCCCAGCCACAACACCCACCTCTGATGATGAGCGAGGCCTTGGATGTGAGGCCCATCACTGAGAAGACCACCTCCCCTGCATCACTGAGCGCGGCGTCTTTGACTGTCAGAGTGTATTTGCGGCCCTGGCGAGTGGCCCGAAAGTGGCCAGAACTACCCACTGTCTTCCCACCGACGGTCCACACTGCTGGGTCACTGTCATTCTCGTGGGACAGGACACACTCAAAGCTGCAGCTCTCTCCCTCCACCACCTCCACTGTCTTTAATCTCTTGGTGATGCCCACGTGCAGATCTGTGGGACATAAGAAACAGGTCACCAGTCAGCCCACAGATGTCAACTGGAGGGAACAGTAGTACCACAGGCCAGGCAGTGGGAAAGGTCAGGTCACACTGCAGGGCCCAGTTTCCCACTGTCCCTAACTCCACACCTAATGACAAAGAGTGCCATCACCAAAATGGAACCAGAATCCTAGCTTCGAGCTGGCATGGCCTAGTGTTTCCATGATTGACAACTGTGAGCTGCAATCAGGGTGGTTGGGAGGAGGCTTCCCCACATCTCTAACCATCTTGTAAGACCAGGAAAGGAGGGACAGGTATCCTACAAGTGACCCCTTCCAGAGAGAGCAAGTCTAGTCCTATGAAAATCTCATTGTGCTCCCTTCCCATAAGGCTGACACAGAGCCCCAGAGGGATCATGAACGAATAGGCTGCCAAGCTGTCTCCTCCAAGCCAGGATGCCAGACCTGAGCCAGGACAGTGGGTGGCTGGCCAAGCTGAGAGAGGTGTGCTCAAAGGGACCTACCTCTTTAAAATAACAGTGCTGAGCGGGGCAGCAACTATGAACCTAGGAACTTTCTGGGGCTCTGTAGAGAATGGGAACATAGATGGCCTGTAGACCTGTCCACCTGTAGGATAGGACATCTGCCCTTGGCCTAGGAGCCCTTTACAGACTGTCTCCTGGTCCTACCTCTCAGTATCCCACACATGTCTGGCTGTGTGGACTTCCTCTCAATCCCAACACATGGTACAAAGCAAATGTCAAGGATCTGAGCAGATCCATACCAGCCCCCACACTGTGAGGCTCTGTAGACAAGTATTCCTTAGCCCATCTGCCTGCCCCTGGACCTCAAAGGGCTACAGTAAGCCCTCTGTGCTACAGACAACTTCTCTGGTACCTCCTGGATACACAGAATAGCCTTTCAGTCTTGAAGAGCAGCCTGGAGCTTCTGGATGGAAGAAGGCCTAGCACCATTGTGATGGTTTGAAAGAAAATGACCCCACAGGGAGTGGCACTGTTAGGAGTGTGGCCTTGTTGGAGGAAGTGTGTCACTGTGTGGGGGAGGGCTTTGAGGTCTCACACGCTCAAGCTATGCCTAGGACACAGTTGCTTCTCCTGCCTGCGGATCAAGATGAGGAACTCTCAGCAACTTCTCCAGCACGACCATGGTGGCCTGGACACCACCATGTCCCCCCATGATGACAGTGGACTAGACCTCTGAAACTGTAAGTCAGCCCCAATTAAATGCTTTCCTTTATAAGAGTTGCCATGGTCATGGTGTCCCTTCACAGCAATAGAAACCTTGACTGCGACAGCCAGCCTGCACAAGAGCCCCAGCCGCTTACCATGCACGCTGACCCTGGACCGGGTCTCCTCACTGCCCACGTGGCAGGTGTACAGTCCGGCATCCTCATGGCTCAGGTCGTGTACCGTAAGGCCCCGAGAGCCTGCCTTGTGTAAGAAGTCATACTTGTCACTGGGACCCAGCTCCACACCGTCTTTGCGCCAAACCACGCGTGCTCCAGGGTCTGAGACCTCGCACTGCAGGGCCAGCGTACCACGCTCTTCTGCAGACACGTCATCCAGTGCTTTCAGGAACACCACTGGCTTTGCTGGAGGGATGGCATGGGCCGGTGAGAGGAGCCTGGGCCCCCGCAGGGGGAGGGCACCCCACGGGCTCCACAGGACCTCTCACCTCTGACCACTAGCTGGGCAGAAAGCGACACCTTTTGGGAGGTGGCCCGCACAGTCCCTGCGTCGGCCTGCCGGACACTCTTTAGCACCAGTGTGTGGAGACAGCCCTCGTGGCTGATCTCGTGGAAGCTGTCATTGTACAGGGGCGTCCCATTGAGGGACCACTCGACGTCCTCGTCCTTATGGGACAGCTCACACGAGAAGCAGACCCGGCCTTCCTCCATGGCTTCAGCATCCTTCAGCGGCTGAATCACGGTCACCTCCCGAGCTGCCAGGGGCACACCAGCACCTCAGCACCACACTACCAGCCACCCCCCCCCTTTACCCTGGAGTGGGGACCACTGCCCGGCCCTCCTTCCCAGCTCTCTACCTTCCACAGTAACCTTGGCACTGCTCTGGGCGTTACCCGCCTGGCACCGGTAGAGCCCAGCATCAGCCGGAGTGAGCCGGAGTATGCGCAGCTCTGCCATCTGGCCCTCCAGCGCCATCTTGAACTTTTCTGACGGGGCCAGCGGGGTGTCCTCCTTGTACCACTGCACAGCCCTGGGGGCCGGCCTGAAGTCACAAGACAGGACTACAGACTGCAGCTCGCGCCCTGCTTTGGGCTCCAGGGGTCGCGTCAATACCACGGGGATGTCTAGAGAGGACAACGCAAGGGCAGGGCTGGGAGCCACAGGAGACCAGGCCACCCAGCCTAGCCTGGGCTCTAAGCCGTTTGCATCCACAGCCCCTACGATGCGCCTGGGCACCTCCTTTGGGGGGTGTGCTGCCCATGCCCCTCACTGCCCGCACACACCTCTCGGTCCCAGCCAACATAGACTACTCCACGCTGCCCTGGCCCAAAGCCCTGCCGTGCCTGAGTGCCTGCATCCTACTTGGCAGGCCCCTGACCATATCCCTACACCCCAAAGCCAGCTCCTAAGCACCCCGTGTGCTACCCAGTGCCCATGTTCTGCTCCACGCCCTGTAAACCACTGAGTAGTGTCCACGCACAGCCTGGAGCCCAAGCATGGTTGCTTTGGCATGGGCCACCTGTGCCTGGCCACTGTTCCTATGTCCTCCCCCAAGCCATGGCCACCCACGGCCCTACACTGTGGCCACCCACGTCTCTGAGCTGCGTCCCTCTTCAGCTTTGCCCCGTGCCGCATGCCTACCTGAGACGACAAGCTGGGCGGAGGAGCGGGACTTGCCGATGGTGAAATGCACAGGCCCGGTCATGGTGGAGCAGGTCTTGTGCAGTGTCAGCCGGTGCACGGTACCGTCTTGCTCCAGGCCCACATTCGCCCCTGCCTGGAGCACGGTCTTACCAAGGAGCCACTTGGGCGGCCTCACGGAGGGGATGGAGGTCTCACATTCGAACCAGGCCGGGGCGGGTTCCATGACTGTCACGTCCTGCAGGCCTCGCACGATAGTGATGGATTGCTCTATGGAGGAGGAGCTGGGTTGCCAGTGAAACTCTACAAGAGGGACCGGTCCCCCGCCCCCCCACAAGCTGTCTGCTCCTTCTTTTTTTTTTTTTTTTTAAAGATTTATTTATTTATTATGTATACAGAAGAGGGCGCCAGATCTCATTACAGATGGCTTCGAGCCACCATGTGGGTGCTGGGAATTGAACTCAGGACCTCTGGAAGAGCAGTCAGTGCTCTTAACCTCTGAGCCATCTCTCCAGCCCCTGTCTGCTCCTTCTTATCCTTCTCTGCCATGTTGCCAAGCATCCTCCCCCAGCTGCTTGGGTGTCCCCAGTCAGGCCCCTGTCCGAAGTGGCAGCCTCCAGAATCTCCAGAGCAAGCCACAGAAACCACAAATCCTCCCCCTCCGCAACCCCGAAACCCAGGAGGGCTGTCCACCCCTTCAGCCCGCACCTTCCACAAAGAACTGGGCGCTGGTCTTGACGTCACCGGCATCACAGGTGTAGGTATCTTCGTCCTCCGGCTGCACATCATTGATGACCAGTTTGCGGTAAAGGCCGTCGCTGACCACTTCATACTTGGGCCCAGGCTGCAGCTCCACTCTGCCTTTGAACCACCGCACCTGGGCACTGGCCCGGGACACCTGGCACTCAAGCACACCACGGTGTTTCTCCATGGCAATCTTGTCCCGCAGTGGGCGCAGGAGGGTCACGGGCAGCTCTGTGGACACGGTCAGGCGGGGTCAGGATGGTGACCTCGAAGCTTTGCCTTGGCACCCTCCTAGGAGCCAAGAGACTGACCTCCGCTCCAAACCAGCTTCCCGTGCCTTCTACCTTGGCCAGCGGGCGGCCAGGTCAAGTGTCCCACCCAGGGCTAATCTAGAGTCTTCTGGGTACAACTGACCACCACCAAGTGGAGCTTGGGAGTCCTTGCACCTCCCCTTCCCACTGAGGAGACATACTCTACCCTCTTCATGAGTCATTACTGGGAGGGGTCCTACAGCACCCCAGGCCTGTGGTAGGCCAGCTGTCTGTAAGGCCCAGCTCACCGTATCCGGTCCCTCTCTCCTCCCTCAGCCCTCCTCACCTTTCACTCGGAGGTGCGCTCTTGATTCTACATTTTCAGCTACAAATTTGATCTCGCCCGCATCTTCCGCCAGTACCCTCCGGAAGATCAGAGTGTACGTCCTCCCTGGAGACAAAGCACACTCCGGACTGCTGAGAGAGAAGAGAGCAGCCAGGGAAACCCACTCACGCTGCTCGGCAGCCCTCCTGCCCTCTTACCTTCCTGCCGGATGCGCACATTTTCACTGGGCCGTAGCTTGCTGGATTCTCGGAACCACAGGCCAGGAACCTCATCATGGGACACCTCACAGGAGAAGGTGGCACCCTCCTTCTCCATCACCTCCACATCCTCCAGTGGCTTCAGAATCTGAACACTGCGGCCTGCGGGAAGGGAGAGAGGGCTGTTGTGGAGGTTTGAACAAGAAGAGCCCCCATAGAGTCAGATATTTGCATGCTTAGGGAGTGGCATTAGGAAGTGTGGCCTTGTTTGAGGAAGTGTGTCACTGGGGGTGGGCTTTGGGGTTTCAAATGCTCATGCCAGGCCCAATGTCTCTCTTCCTGCTGCCTGTGGATCAGATGTAGACCTCTCAGCTACTTCTCCAGCACCACATCTGCCTGCACCCTGCCATGCTTTCCGCCATGATGACAATGAACTAAACCTCTGAACGTTAAGCCAGCCCTAATTAAATGCTTTCCTTTATAACAGATGCTGTGGTCCTGGTGTCTCTTCACAGCGATAGAATACTACAGGCAGCTGGCATGCCCAGAAACATAGGGTACTCCCAGCACATCCACCATCTTGCAGCCAAGCTAGGGGAAGCAGAGGCACAAGAAAGCACTACTCATACCTGCCAACTTTCCCTGCCCTCTCTGCCCAGAACTCACCCTGCACCTTCAGAGAGGCCGAGGTCTGAGCGTCAAGAGCATCACACACATAGACACCCTGGTCCCCAATCTCACATCGGTAAATGACGAGACTCCTGCAGGCTCCCTGGGCCACTATGCCCATGGTCTTGCCTGCCCGCAGCTCCACGCCATCCTGTAGGACAGGGAGGACTGGTCAGGCACCAGAGGGGCTCAGGAGAAGGGGTTCGCCTCCTGGATGCCCACAGGGAAGAGCAGGGAGGAGAGAGCGATACCTTCAGCCAGCGCACATCCACTGGCCGAGACAGCTCACACTCCAGGGTCACTTTCTCTTTCTGGGTGGCCACCACGTCCTGGAGCAGTCGGGTGAAGCTCACCGGCAACTCTGAGACAGGAGGCAGGGAAGGGAGACACGGAGTCAGGAGGTACTTCCTGATACGGTGGGCTAACTGTAGTCACGCAAGGGGGTTTCCACTTTCTGCCTGGTCCCATCTGCCCCCCTGGGCCACTTAGGGAAATGAAAGAGGTGTGCTCTGGAGTGGGGCTGCCAGCCTTCGTCTACTCACCGGTGACAATGAGCTGTGCAGACGTGTGCACGCCCTCAGCCCTGAAGGCCACCAACCCGCTGTCCTGCGGCCTCAGCGCCGAGAGCGTGAGGATGTGGATGGGGCCTTGTACAGCCAGGTGACATGTGGGCCCAGGCTGAAGCCGCAGGCCATCTCGAGTCCAGCTGCCCTCCACATCGGCATGGGACAACTCCACATCCATGGAGGCTGTGCCCTGTTCCTTAGCCTCCACGGCCTGCAAACCTCGAATCAGCCGGACCTGCCGCACTGTCAGAGGGACGCTAGTGAGCTAGTCAACTGAGACCCTCCATCCAGCCAGGACGCAGACCCAGATGTGGGCCCAACCTACCACCCTGGAGGCCACAGAGCAGAGTAAGGGCCCAGGCATCAGCCCCCAGTCACCACCTCCACCCAGCTCTACCTCAAGCCCAGCTGACCCCAGGACTGACTCTCTACATCCTCCTCCATCTCTTCCTTCCTTGGTTCCACTTACCAGAACCAGGGTGAGTGCCTGTCTTCCCAAAAGGAAATCCCATCCATCCTCATAGCCAACACAAAGCCACACCCCCCACTTCCGGAGGAGTCCCCTCTCTTCCTCTGTGGTCCCAACCCTGGGCTTACTTTCCACATTGATCTTGGCCTGGGTCTTGTCATCGGGTGTCTCACAGCCGAAGAAGCCACGGTCCGCAAAGCCCACACTGCGCAGCACCAGACGGTGCCGAGCACCCTCGGCACGGATCTCCACGTTCTCGCTGGGCGCCAGGACCGCGGCATTCCGTGTCCACCTCACCTCCGGCCAGGGGCGCGTCAGCTCCACCTCCAGCGTCACGGAGCTCTTCTCCTCCACCGTCTGTGGCTCAAGCTTCCTTTTGAAGAGGACTGGTGCCTCTGACACAGAAGGGCGGAGCTCGTCTTGGCCATGTGGGGCCTGCTTGGGCCCCACCCCTGGGCCAGCCTGAGTCCAGGCCAGAGAGCCCCACCCACCACACGAGTGGCCCCACTTCAAGCAAGGTAAGCCCCAAATGGCAGACCTAACATAGGGGCACTTTATGGGGGAAAGCTAAGGCTGTTTCCTCCTCTGCCCCC